AAATATAGGGGACACAGTCTGTGAGAAGCCCGAGTACAGACCACGTGGTAAACACTAAAGTTGGAAATGGATCCTTGTAGGAAAAATCTCTTAAAAAGCTCTGCATGTTCTGCAGGCTCTGAAAGTTGCAACAATAGAAATAGCTCATGAGACAATTGTAATTGGACATGGAAAAATATAACAAAGTTAAAATTACAGGCCTTCTGTGTTATATGTTTGTGTGTGCTATATGTTTGTGTGTTATATGTTTGGGTATGTTATATGTTTGTGTATGTTATATGTTTGTGCGTCATGTCAAGTACACTACGTTGACCTTAACAAACTCTGGACCAAAATACTAACGTGGGGAGTCGGCCTGTGTGAGTGATGCGAGTGTGATGTGAAATGAGGAATGCTGAACGGATCATGGAATAACAAAAGTTTTCTGTAATGTTTTAATGTGATCATGGAATAATTATTTTTTGTCAACAGCATACGGTGTAAGTACTAGAGATTCAAAGATAACAAGCTTTATTGAACAGGTGTAAAAGTGAGAGTACTCTGGGATGAGTACTCTGAGAAAAGTACTCTGAGAAAGTACTCTGAGATGAAATACCTTGCTGAAGGTACTGGGAGTCCCTCCCTCTGCTGTTTGTCCTGACAGTGATTCGGTCCAACCGCAGTGAGCGGTCATTGGGCGGAGGACAACTTTGGTTTGTAACTCACATTTAGGGGAGTATAAAATTACAAACATACATATTGTTAAGTCTGTATTTGGCTACAGCCCCTGCCCTGATGTCACACACCGTCTGTCAATGTAGTTATGTTTTGCCCAATTGGATTGATTGACAGGCTGCACCATGCGAAGAGAGGGAAGTGGGCGTTTCTTGTGTTCTAATGTTTGTTTTTCAGATGAAAGATAAACTGCACCCGCTTCAGGGATGACAGTAGTAAGGATCATAAAGGAAATGAGCTTCTACTATGGCACCAAAGCCCACAATATGAATTGAGGACGATCCGGGAGGAACAACTGGAGAATGATGGGAACAGTAATCTACACACATACAGATGCATGTTTTATACTTTGGACCACGACCAACAGAGGGGAGTAGAGTATTGTATTGTCATAGATGGTCATGGTCCTTAACCTTCTAAATCATTAGAAAGAAGTGTAAAACATATATTTACAAGAACAAATAAATAATAGAAAGGGCAGCCTAAAAAAGCAAAATGGGAAAATTATTAAGTAATTTTCAGAGTTGCCAAAATGAAATAAAATTCTATATTTGTCCCATAGGGGGTCATTCTAAATTTAGTGTTGTGCAAATTCAAAAGGAGAAATAATAGCGCTTATAACATCAAACAGATCTACTCTTTAAGATAATAGATCATATAATAATAATAATAGAATAGAATGAAATAGTCTGGAGCTATAATGTCATTGGATTCGAGGAGCTATAGGGTGAAAGGTCGCTAGGAAGAGGTGTCAGAATAAACAATAGTAATAATAGTTAGAGGAGTGAATAATCAAAATAGTTCTATTGTGAAAATAAGTATCAATAAGGTCAAATTGTTCTAATAACTAAAGTAAAAAGGAATCAAATGGAGTCAGATTTTAGATGTTTTCTGTTTTCCACATCTGTAGGAACTAGTGCAGATGTGTTTATAGAGAGTAGTATTAAAATGCAGACATAGAACGACAGGCTTTAACACAATTTTAAATCTAAAAATAGCTCAAATATAACATTGCTCTTGACGCAGCCTCTGAGCTGCTCCATTGGAGAACAGGTTAAATGTTATTGTTTATTACAAACAGCTGATGTACTTACACATATTAAAGTTTGGGACAACTCTTTAAACAGTTATAAGCAGCGGACAGAAGCCATGAATGTGCTTTTGTTTATTAAATAATTAAATGCATAGCCTTATAATCGTAGAGAACGTTTTAAAATAGTTAAAATCCCTTTCAGGCAACTTGATTTAGATGTATGTCTTTAATATTGGAGAACGACTGTGTTGTTTTTGGAATTGTCTGAAATACAATACATAGAATAGTGATTTGCAGAACAAGAACCAGCCAATGAAAAATCGTCTATTGCCAATGTAATTGTTACAATCAGAACTCAAAAATTGGGAATATGCTTTGGCTCAAACTACAACCAAGATTTGGAGTCACAATAGAGTGTAAAATAGATAGATGCTTTCAAAAATAGAGATTATTTTTAGACAGGGCTAATATCAAACGGTAAAAAGACCATTTCCTTCATATTATGTCCAAAAGTAGTTACTTCAAAAGTAGATAAAGTTCATGAGTGTAGCCTAGATTAATGTAGCTTAGATTAATGAGATAGATTAGAACCAACAGAGATTCAAAAACATTTAAAAGCATTTTGGTTCATTTGAATATAGCACAAAAGTAGATATTTAGGTATTTTTGAGAATTTTAAGAGCTGTCGATTTGTCAGCAACAGATTAGAGAATCAAAATACCGTTGTATAGGGACTGACCCCAGAGAAACCTGCTAAAATAGATTAGCTCCTGTAACGATAATACCAATTTGATTAATGATGAAGAATCAGAATGACACAGCGGTGGTCATCAAAGAGTTTTGTGAAGGAATGTTTCGAACGTGGTTGTGTGTTGTTTGTTTTCCCTGTATTAACTCTTCACAGATATCAAGCCTGAACTAAGCACAAGTATGGATGATAAACGACGATGTGGATTGTGACCTAATTTTTAATCAGGTCAAAAGAGGGAAACTGTTGTATAATTAAAATGTTGTATATTTTAATATTCGACCATTTGGACATCATAGCCAAAAAGACCTCCGTGCACTCAGGAAAAACCCCAAGGACACAAGATAGTATACAAACTAGACAATTATTGACTCCAAGTATAAGCAGGGCTCTCTCTCTCTCTCACTTTGGGCGAGAGCAAAGTCCAACACAATCAGGCGCCGCAGGGGTGGGGCCATTGTTTGCTCAGGTGGAGATGGAAGACCAAGACCGGGTCCAGACCAGGACCAGGGGCCAGACCAGTCCCAGACCTGTGACGTCATCGGACCCTGGGCCCAAGACCTCCCTGATACGACACGCCCCCTGCTCCCTGAACATCGACTGATAAGGCTCGGGCTTGGGCAGACACGGAAGAATCAGCCGAGGGCCAGAGAAAGGGACATGCATAGTTTTAGGAGCCCTCTTTGTTGGAATTTCTGTATCTGATTGTAAAGATAAATTAAATACAGATGTTAAAACTTGGAGATCTGTTGTCATGCCTCTGCATCAACTCGAACACGTCAGTCAAGGGAATTATTGACTACAGGACATTAAGTATCACTTTATTCGATCCAATGTGTTGCAGGGTAATATAGTTCTCATTTACTGCCCAACTGAGAACATGGTTGCAGATGTATTTACAAAATCTGCCACTAGGGCCAAAATAGAGAAGTTTTGTACCTTTATGTTTGGTGTTTAAAGTTGAAATGTATGAGTGTCACCATCGAGTGGGGGTGTTAGTGTTATATTGTTATAGTGCGATGTTGGCACTACTTTCTAGTGCGGAAGGTTACGCAACATTTAAATAAAGGCGGAGCCACTTGAGAAAACACACAGTATGGCTGCCCGCATGAAAATAGTCACCTGTCTCGTGTCTTGTGTCACTGCTAACTATCATGTCTGAAGAAGACCGGGGCACGACTTCCCGTGTGCGACATGCAGAGGAGTCAACAATTGGGTCTTCAGTTGTTTTGTGAGTGAAGGTAGCACTTTCCGTTTTGTTACGGGTGGGGCTACTCCCCGCGCAGGTCGCCCTCGTTGGATTCATTTAGTTATTAGTTTATTTTAGTATATTGAATTTTTATGATGCCCAGGGGCTGCAGCTTTTAAACCTTTTGGTGGGCTTTTATATTTTGACTTCTGGACTTTTTAATAATTACATTGCAATGAATTAAAATCTTTTTAAAAATAACTCTTAATTGCTCCAGCTTTTTAATAAAATTCTAACATTTTAAGTCTTGTGTCTGTCGTTGTTTTTACATACTTACCTGTAGTAGTAGTAGTAAGTAATCTTTATTTATATACCGCCTTTTCACTGCAGATCTGAGTCTCAAAGCGGTTTACAATTGCTAATTATGGGCATTTATCTCTCACTCCACACACAGATGGAGCTGGGTCGCCAGTACAGGAGGCGCATGCCAGATATGCCTATTGGACATATTTTTAGTGTCCTTGGTTTTAGTTCCTGGTTTATTTACTGTTACTGTGAACTTTTGAAAAGGTACCTTCAATGACACATGTTAAACGAAAGTCCAGTACAACCGCTAAAAACGTAAATGAACTAACTGTAACGGGTGTCACCAGTGGGCGTCGCTGGTGTCAGCCTTAAAATAGGAAGTTGGCTACGTGCCAGACAGGTGCCAGTTTCCGTGGGCGGCCAGAGTGTTTGCTGGGCCCATGTGTGTGTGCGTGTTTGGCCAAAGTTACGGTGAGCTTTTAAAATAGTTTATGCAGTATTATGGTGATGAAATTAATTGTTTTGTTCTGTGGTAGGGAGGCCTTGCTGTTTGCCATGGGGCAAATAAAGATCTGTGTGGAGCTGTGTGTGTGGGGGTTGCGACGCACATGTAGCAAGTTTTTAACAGGTTTTTAAATGATTAAAGTTTTGTTTAAGATATTAAGGGTTTTGTGTTTTTCTGTTTTACAGTGGTTTTAATATTTGCTGCCTGCTGTCCTTTTGAGTGTATTTTCATTTCTGTTATTCAGCCTAGCTCATTAATATTCAGAGCTTTGTAAAGGCGTTTAACTTTTATATTTTGGGTCACTTCTCCTTCCTAGTAATAAAATAAATACTGTAAATATTCATGCCAGTTTTTGCATGTCTACTTATTGCCCGGCTCTGGTAACATTTGGCGTTGCTGACAAGTATAAGAGAAGTGACCTGTTTTATAAAATTCACTGAGGACAGCAGGAGCAGGTGCGCTGGTGGTAACGGTGACTGGCCTTTGTGAACGCGTTCTCCCGGCCATGAATGACGAGGAGGAGAAGCAGGCCATGGCGCAGCGCATCAAAGAATTGGAAAATGAGCTGGCGGTGCTCCGTGCGGCCAGCTCGGACTCTGAAACTCCATCCACTTCCACCGGAGGAACAAGTGGCGCATCTGCTCTCCCAATGAGGCAGGCTCCTGTCATATATGTGCAGCAAGACCGAAAGCTGCCCTTGTTTTCGGGGAAACTTGATGGTAATGAATCATTGACTCTAGACGAGTGGATAGAACAAATAAGACTCTTTGCCCAAACCAGAGGAGCCACGGAAAAGGAGCGTGCACAAATTGTGTTTGATCATCTGGAGGGAGCTGCGCGCACGGAAATAAAGTTCCTACAGAGAGAACAGCGGGAGTGTATGGACTCTATCTTTGAGGTTTTGAAAGAAGTCTATGGATGTATGCACTCCCACATTCTATTGCAGCGACGGTTTTATAATCGCAAACAACATGATGGTGAGTCATTAATTGCATACTCTCACTCGCTGATGGATTTATTGGACTCGATTGTCAAAAGTGACGCGCAAGTTGCGTCTCGAGCAGCGTCTAAAGATCTGCGCGATCAGTTCATCGACGGGGTCAGAGATCAAAGTTTAAAAATAAGACTGAGGGACTTGGTGAATATTCATCCTGACTGGACTATCCGCGAGGCAAGAGTTGAAGCTACCAAATGGATGGCTCAATGTGGGGTTCAAAATAAACCGAGATGTGATTATAGCACAGTGTCTCAGGAGATGGGTGTGTCTTGTGAAAGTGTTACTGGTTCTTCTCAATATAGTGAATTAATGTCTTTATTGAAAGCGCAGCAAACTCAGTTGGATTTGGTTGTTAAAGCACTGACCCCTCAAAGTTTCCCTCCAGCGAGAGCACGCTATAACGGGTCCAGGCGATCCACAGATGGGAGGCCCATTTGTTTTCGGTGCGAGCAGAGCGGGCACATAGCGAGGAATTGTCCAACTAATTCTCGCAGTGAAAATGTGTCTCGTCAGAACCAGCCTAAGTCTCCGGAAAACTAGATCCCGCCAGTGTGCAGAGTCAAACATTGGTGGGGGGACAAATGGGCTCTCATATTAACTCTGATTTACCTAACCTTGTTGGACAGTGCGTGGAAGCTGAGGTTGACTTTGCTGGGGTTTGTGTTCCATGTTTATTAGACAGTGGGTCTATGGTCACTACTCTAACTGAGAGTTATTTTAAAACACACTTTTCTCATTTGTCTGAATCAGACCTGAAAGATTGTAGTTGGCTGGGATTAAAAGCAGCGAATGGTCTGAAAATCCCATATCTGGGTTACATTGAGTTAGAGATGCATATTTTGGGTGTGTGCTTGCCCCGTTGTGGGGTGCTAATTGTAAAGGACTCTTCTGACAGTTATATGCGGGAGAAGAAAGCAGCTGTGCCAGGGGTTTTAGGTATGAATATATTCAACTGTCTCTACTTTGAACTGTTTAAGCAATTTGGCTCTGACCTGTGGGAGGCGCCAATAATCCAGTCTGCGACTCCTGGGCTGAGGAAAATCTTGAAGTACTGCCAGATGATTGAGGCTATGGCTGGTTCTCCAGATCCGCATCCAGTGAGAGTGCAGGGTAAGAAACCGCTATGTATCCCAGCAGGAAGTCTTAAATATGTCCCTGTAACCTGCCCACAGGCATCACTGAATAAGTCCATAGAGTTTATGGTTGAGCCTCTTGGACCTGAGCACTCTGCTCTGCCCGAAGGGCTGCTGGTTTCACCTTCCTTAGTTAAAGCAGAAGAAGGGAGGGCATTTGTCCCAGTCACAAATGTAGGTACAATCGATGTATGGTTAACACCACGCAGAATAATTGCCACAGTTCAGACTGCTGAAGTTATATTTGGAGAACAGTCAGAGATTCAAGTTGTTGTGGATTTGCAGAGCAGTACAGCTTTTATTGATAATAAAGAGACTTCTAATGAATCTGAGCTTGTGTTACCAGAGTTTGGAAATCTGGAGGAATTTGAGCGTAAACAAGCGAAAGCCCTGTTATCAAAATATAGTGGTGTGTTTGCACTAAATGATCTAGACGTAGGGTGTACTGACCTGATACAGCATGAAATTCCCTTACTCGATGAAACTCCTGTTCGGCAGCCATACAGACGAATTCCTCCTTCACAGTATGAGCTTGCTCGTAGTCACATCAAACGATTGTTACAAAGTCAGATAATACGTGAGAGTTGCAGTCCATATTCCTCACCAATAGTTTTGGTGTTAAAAAAGGATGGTACGCTGCGAATGTGCGTAGACTATAGGCTATTAAATGCAAAAACAAGAAAAGATGCGTTCCCTCTCCCCAGGATAGATGAGTCTTTGGATGCTTTGGCTGGGGCCCAGTGGTTCTCTACATTAGATCTGGCTAGTGGTTATAGCCAAGTGGAGATGGCTGAAAAAGACAGGGAAAAAACTGCATTTTGCACCCCTTTTGGATTATTTGAGTTCAATCGTATGCCTTTTGGTTTATGTAATGCACCAAGCACTTTTCAGCGGCTCATGGAACGCATTTTTGGAGATTACCGTCATCAGTCTGTCCTGTTGTACCTCGATGATTTGATTGTGTTTTCATCATCAGTACAACAGCACTTTGAACGGTTGGAGCAGATTTTTTCACGATTAGAAAATGAGGGGTTAAAGGTAAAGCTCTCTAAATGTAACTTTTTTCAGAGACGCGTTAAGTATTTGGGTCATGTGGTCTCGCCGGAAGGAGTTTCCACGGATCCTGAAAAAGTGGCAGTAGTAAGGGAGTGGAAGAGACCAAACAATCTGGCCGAACTACGGTCATTTTTGGGTTTTGCCTCATACTATAGACGTTTTTTTGCGGGATTTTCAAATATGGCTGGCCCTTTAAATCGCTTGGTAGCAAAACTGCTCCCCCCAGGTAGACAAGGGAAAACCCCAAAGAAGCCTGTTGCAGATTTTTGGGATGATGAATGTGAGGAGAGTTTTCAGAGGCTTAAAACTGCCCTAATAACCACCCCTGTTCTTGCTTACGCAGACTTTCAGAGGCCCTTTGTTTTGGAGGTTGACGCAAGCCATGGAGGTTTGGGTGCCGTATTATCCCAAGAACATGGGGGTAAGTTGAAGCCCATTGCTTTTGCCAGTAGAAGCCTGAAGCCCACAGAACGTAACATGAGTAACTATAGTTCCATGAAGCTGGAGCTGGTTGCTCTTAAATGGGCTGTTACAGAAAAATTTAGAGAGTACCTAATTGGAAATCAGTGTACAGTTTTTACAGATAACAATCCTCTTAGCCATTTGGCCACTGCAAAACTGGGCGCTGTAGAGCAGAGATGGGCCTCCGAGCTAGCCTCGTTTGATCTGAATATTAGATACCGCCCTGGTTCCCAAAATGCAAATGTGGATGCTCTCTCCCGCCTTCACCTACCATCTGAGGAGAGAGTGGAGGTTTTTGGGGTTCAGGTAGAAATAAGTGCACTCCCAGGTCTCGATGTATCAGATATTTCCATGTTACAATCTCAAGACCCGATTATTGGCAGCTTCCTAAAGTATTGGGTTGAGGGGAGGATGCCTGGGGCCAAAGACAGACAGGAGCTCAGTAAGGGTACAAGGGAGCTGGTGCGTCAGTGGGGCCGTATAAGGAGAGAGGAGTCTGTGCTTTACCGGTGTTTCCACAAACCTGATGGAGAGGGAGAAGTTAAGCAGCTAGTACTGCCACAGTGCTTAAAGGAGCGTGTCCTTCGTTCTCTGCACGATGAGCACGGTCATCAAGGTGTAGAGCGCACGTTACAGCTGGTCCGCTCCAGGTACTACTGGCCAAACATGTGCAGTGATGTTGAGGACTGGTGTAAATGTTGTGAGCGATGTGTAATGTCTAAAGCTCTGCAACCAAAAGTAAAGACCTTTATGGGATCAGTCAAAGCATCCAGGCCTCACGAAATTTTGGCCATAGATTTTACTGTGTTGGAGCTCTCCACAGATGGCAGGGAAAATGTTTTGGTCATGACAGATGTTTTTTCAAAGTATACTCAGACTGTTGCCACTAAGGATCAGCGTGCCAGTACAGTAGCAGAAGTTCTGGTAAAGCATTGGTTCCAGCCATTTGGTCCTCCAAGTCGAATTCACTCTAACCAAGGGAGGAATTTTGAAAGTAGTCTGGTTCAACATCTTTGCAAAATGTATAATATTGAAAAGAGCCGTACCACACCTTATCACCCGCAGGGCAATGGTCAGTGCGAACGGTTTAATCGCACCTTACATGACCTGCTGCGAGCCCTTCCCCCTGAACAAAAGCGTAGGTGGCCTCGGCATTTGTCTCAAGTGACTTTTGCATATAACACCACAGTACACCAGACTACTGGCCTAACCCCATACTTTTTAATGTTTGGAAGAGATCCAAGATTACCTGTTGATTTTCTATCTGGTGGGCTTGAGGAGACAGAAATTCCGTTAGATGAATGGGTGGAGGAACATCAGAAGTCTTTAACAACAGCTTATGAGACTGTCCAAGCAAGGCTGGAGAATCAAAGGGAACAGAGGAGACAGAAGGAGCAGAATATGTCTGTGGCTGCCGATTTTGAAGAAGGAGATAGAGTATACACAAGGAACCATTCAGTGAGAGGGAGGAATAAAATTCAAGATTTTTGGGATCCCACTCCTTACCAGGTTGTTGTACCCCCAGCACCAGGGGGGGTTGTGTACTCGGTAGCACCTGTTGGCCAAGAGGGACCAGTGCGTCAGGTGCATAGAACAGAGTTACGGACTATCCCTAGTAGTTGGGAGGATGATACTCCTGATGAGCGCAGGGAAAGGGAGATAGAAACCGAAAGTGCTACTAATGTGCTTGAACTAGAGTCTGAGAATGATGAGATGTTCTCTGATGATGAGCTGCTTCCAGGCCAGGAACCCACTGAGGAAACTGGCACCCCCTTAGTTTTTGAGCCTCGACGGTCCTCCCGAAAGACTGCTGGGCAACATTCAAATCCACATAGGCTGCCACAATCTGTACAGGTTACTAGACCAACAGCAGAGTTCTAGTTTGAGAGGTATCCCCCTCTTTTTATACATCGTCAGGTCGACGATGCTCGTTGTGGGGGAGGAATGTAACGGGTGTCACCAGTGGGCGTCGCTGGTGTCGGCCTTAAAATAGGAAGTTGGCTACGTGCCAGACAGGTGCCAGTTTCCGTGGGCGGCCAGAGTGTTTGCTGGGCCCATGTGTGTGTGCGTGTTTGGCCAAAGTTACGGTGAGCTTTTAAAATAGTTTATGCAGTATTATGGTGATGAAATTAATTGTTTTGTTCTGTGGTAGGGAGGCCTTGCTGTTTGCCATTGGGCAAATAAAGATCTGTGTGGAGCTGTGTGTGTGGGGGTTGCGACGCACAGGTAGCAAGTTTTTAACAGGTTTTTAAATGATTAAAGTTTTGTTTAAGATATTAAGGGTTTTGTGTTTTTCTGTTTTACAGTGGTTTTAATATTTGCTGCCTGCTGTCCTTTTGAGTGTATTTTCATTTCTGTTATTCAGCCTAGCTCATTAATATTCAGAGCTTTGTAAAGGCGTTTAACTTTTATATTTTGGGTCACTTCTCCTTCCTAGTAATAAAATAAATACTGTAAATATTCATGCCAGTTTTTGCATGTCTACTTATTGCCCGGCTCTGGTAACATAACTCTCTCTATCTCTTCACCGTATAACCTCAACTTCAAATCTTCACTCTCTTCCTTGTAAAGAAAACCATTTTAGTTTTCTCAACTGAGAACCTGAAGCCCCACTCCACCACATCATTAATGGCTCTCTGACTCTTGACTATTAGATGATCTGTATTTCTCCCCCTGCTCCACAACGCCCCATCATATGTGAACAAAGATATGCCCACACTCCCAGGCTCTGCTTCAAACATATCATTCATTAGAATAATGAAAAGGCAGAAACTGAGGCAGTCAGAGGCAGCCTGAGCCTCAGCCTCGGCTTGTATTTAGTCTCAGCCTCAGTCTCAGCCTCAGCTCGGCCTCAGCTCGGCCTCAGTCTCGGCCTTAGCAGGTCGCCGAGGTCGTAGGAGTCGAAGAAGTCGGACACGCCCTCGTGCTCCTCCAGGCTCCACAGGTAGTCGTCGTCGTGGTCCAGGGGGGGAGAGAAGCTGACGAAGGGGCCCACGGAGGCTCCAGGGCAGGCCAGCTGGTCCTCGGTCATCTGCAGGAGACTGGGGGGCAGACCCAGCAGCCCCTCCACGTCCAGCAGAGAGGGGGAGGGGGCCACAGCAGGGGGGGCACGCGCTGTGGGGGACACAGACGTCAGTGTGAGGCTGTGTTTTACATCAGTCACAGTAAGATCAGTTCAGACAATGTTTGTTTAAGACCCACACCCTTCATTCAATTAAATTGAATTAAATGTAGACAAGGTTCTAGAAGTGTCTGCTGCGGCAACATGGATCTGTGAGCTCCACGAGTGGCTGCGAGATTCTGCAGGAGACCGTGGGCGCTACGAACGCAGGGGCTCCTGTGGTAAAGGTGGGAGTCATTCACATTTTCCATCCATTTTCTTCCGCTCACTTTCATATATGTGTATATAGGATATACTTTCATATATGTGTATATAGGATATACTTTCATATATGTGTATATAGGATATACTTTGTACTGCCATAGCTCTCTAAATACAGTGCCTTGCGAAAGTATTCGGCCCCCTTGAACCTTTCAACATTTCGTCATATTTCAGGCTTCAAACAAAGATATAAAAATAACATTTTTTGTTAAGAATCAACAACAAGTGGGACACAATCGTGAAGTGGAACGAAATTTATTGGATCATTTAAACTTTTTTAACAAATAAACTGAAAAGTAGGGCGTGCAATATTATTCGGCCCCCTTGCGCTAATACTTTGTAGCGCCACCTTTTGCTGCAATTACAGCTGCAAGTCGCTTGGGGTATGTCTATCAGTTTTGCACATCGAGAGACTGGAATTCTTGCCCATTCTTCCTTGCAAAACAGCTCGAGCTCAGTGAGGTTGGAATGGTTCAATGGTTGTGAACCATTCCATTGTAGATTTGGCTTTATGTTTTGGATTATTGTCCTGTTGGAAGATAAATCTCCGTCCCAGTCTCAGGTCTTTTGCAGACTCCAACAGGTTTTCTTCCAGAATGGTCCTGTATTTGGCTCCATCCATCTTCTCATCAATTTTAGCCATCTTCCCTGTCCCTGCTGAAGAAAAGCAGGCCCAAAGCATGATGCTGCCACCACCATGTTTGACAGTGGGGATGGTGTGTTCAGGGTGATGAGCTGTGTTGCTTTTACGCCAAACATATCCTTTTGCATTGTGGCCAAAAAGTTCGATTTTGGTTTCATCTGACCAGAGCACCTTCTTCCACATGTTTGGTGTGTCTCCCAGTTGGCTTGTGGCAAACTTTAAACGTGACCTTTTATGGATATCTTTGAGAAATGGCTTTCTTCTTGCCACTCTTCCATAAAGGCCAGATTTGTGCAGTGCACGACTGATTGTTGTCCTATGGACAGACTCTCCCACCTCAGCTGTAGTTATCTGCAGTTCATCCAGAGTGATCATGGGCCTCTTGGCTGCATCTCTGATCAGTCTTCTCCTTGTTTGAGATGAAAGTTTGGAGGGACGGCCGGGTCTTGGTAGATTTGCAGTGGTCTGATATTCCTTCCATTTCAATATAACTGCTTGCACAGTGCTCCTTGAGATGTTTAAAGCTTGGGAAATCTTTTTGTATCCAAATTCAGCTTTAAACTTCTCCACAACAGTATCTCGGACCTGCCTGGTGTGTTCCTTTGTCTTCATGGTTCTCTCTGCGCTTTAAACAGAACCCTGAGACTATCAAAGTGCATTTATACGGAGACTTGATTACACACAGGTGCATTCTATTTATCATCAGTCATTTAGGACAACATTGGATCATTCAAAGATCCTCACTGAACTTCTGGAGTGAGTTTGCTGCACTGAAAGTAAAGGGGCCGAATAATATTGCACGCCCCACTTCTAAGTTTTTTATTTGTTAAAAAAGTTTTAATTATCCAATACATTTTGTCCCACTTCACGATTATGTCCCACTTGTTGATTGTTGACAAAAAAATTATTTTTTATAGCTTTATGTTTGAAGACTGAAATGTGGCGAAAGGTTCAAGGGGGCCGAATACTTTCGCAAGGCACTGTATACGTAGATTAGGCAAGATTAGTGCAAATAACAAAAGATAGTGCGAGGGTTAATATATAAGCTCTGTATGTTCATGAGGCTACACCTTTTACTTCTTTATCCATTTAGAGCAGACCACCTGGAAACAAATACATTTGTAAAAACACATTGAAATTGTAAATATAGAAACACACAGTGAGACTATGACAAATACTGATTATATATTTATACATTTATATTTGTGCATGTGTATTATGTACGCTCAGTGGCCAACACAACATGTGTACAAGTTTAATATTAGTCTGGATTATAACAGGTCGGAGTCTCAGGATGCTTCTTCAATAGTTTTTATCTGCAGTTTAGTTCAGAATAATAATGTCCCACTCTGTCTCCTTCTTCATCACATGTCAGTTTGTTTCTCAGACTTGATGCAGCGTTAAAGGAACCATAAGATTTTCCTTTCAGACAAAAACATGTGTGTTTTTGTCTGAAAGGACCAGCGCGGCTAGGGTAAGGGAGGTAACAAATAAAACCAAGATGTTAAAATGGTAAAGCAAGTATTTAATAACAGGGATATAAATGATAAGGAGACATGAATCAAAAGGACACAAGACAGGACATAAGGGGGTAACTCAACGCTACCAAAAGAAAAGCTACACTAAACACTAAACTGAAGTGTCACAAAAACAAAACCTCAAAGTGACAAAAAGAGACAAACCAAATCCAAACTATGCGGACCATGAGGACTGTCTTCACTGCCACCACTGTGACAATGAGACACTTTCTGAAGGACAAATGGCACCAGCCACACACAGGCTGCAGCCCCGAACAGGTGTGGAGTGTGGCCTTAAAGGAATAGTTCACCGTTTTTACATACTGACATATGTTCTTATCTTAGACTAGTTAATACGTACCTGTCTGGTCTTAGTCCGTGCGCTCTGTCATGCAAACGGAGCAAAAACGGGAGCACAAACGCAGCCTCCTCTGTATACTGTATAGTACCCAAAAGGTAGCTCCCGCTAGAAGCTACCAAACTCTTCCAAGTGTTCCCTATTAAATGTATATAGTTACGTGACGTGTTACACTGCAAAGTATAGTAACACAGAAATGTAACTGTCGTTTTTCTCAGCGGATAAAACGGGTACTATATTGTGAGGCGTAGTAATCTGAGGGGCGCTACGTCCGCGCACTGACTTCTCTCGGAGACTTCTCTCTCGCTCACTTCCGTCAATAGAAGCAGCGTGACTTGTAGTACAAGCAAATCACAGACGGGGACGTGGCCAATATTATCAAGTCCATTAAATCTTCAAAGGCAACAGACGTGTACGGAATCGACACTCATTTTCTCAAAACACACATGGACACACTGGTGCGTCCGCTCACTCATCTGATAAATTTATCAATCAGTGAGGGAGTTGTTCCATCAGGCTGGAAGGTGGCCACTGTCTCACCTATTTTTAAATCTGGAGACAAGACTCTTACATCAAATTATCGCCCCATTAGCATACTACCAGTGGTGTCAAAAGTAGCTGAAAAATGGGTAGCCAAGCTGCTCAACCAACATCTCAGCCATGGCCACTCCCCCCTGTACCCCATGCAGTTTGGCTTCTGCCAGTACCACTCCACAGAAACAGCCAATTGTGTTTTTGTAGAAACTGTCAAATCCATGCTTGACAAAAACACCTGTGTTGGTGCAGTCTTTTTAGATTTGAAGAAGGCATTTGACACAGTAGACCGTCAAGCCCTTATTGCTAAATTGACTCACTTTAACTTGGCCGAGGACACTCTTGCTTGGTTTACATCTTATTTGTCTGATAGAAGACAGTGTGTGAATGTGGGTGGCACCGTGTCATCATTTCTAGAATGCCCTGCAGGGGTCCCACAAGGTTCTGTATTAGGACCTATACTTTTTCTGTGTATATCAATGACCTGCCAAATGTTTGTCAAAATGTCCACTTTCAAATGTATGCAGATGATGCTGTAATTTTTACTCCTGCTAAAACAACTGAGGAGGCATCACTACCCTCACTGCAGCTCTGACAGACATACAGCAGTGGCTCAACAACTCATCCTTACTATTAAATAAAAAGAAAACCGTGTCAATGATATTCACAAAAAAATCTATTAAACTTGATCGGTCCAATGTGTTCCTTGGAGACACTGAGCTTGACTTTGTTGAGGAGTTCAAATATCTCGGGGTCACACTGGATTCAACACTCTCCTTTAAAAAACACATTAAGCTCACTGCGAATACAATAAAGTTAAATTTACAGAACTTCAAACAAATCAGGCCCTTTATGAAAACAGATTCAGCAAAGATGTTTCTACACTCAATGATATTTTCACACATAGAGTACTGCATTACAACCTGGTCACTTACTGGAGAAACAAATATCAAACCCATAGAAATCCTCTTCAAAAAGTCCATAAAAATTCTGGATCAAAAGCCTTGGTCATATCATCACTGCAATATCCTGGAAAAATATAAAATGCTAAATTTTCAAAATTTCATAAATTTTAAAAACTGTTGCCTTGTTTACAAAGCACTTCATGGTCTTTCCCCGCCCCCACTATGTAACTACATTAAACTTAAAGCAATGAGGGGTCTCCGCACCAGAGCCTCCTCCAGAGGAGATGTGGAGATCCCACACAGAAAAACAACATTTGGACAAACTGTGCTGTCCGTCAGAGGAGGCCAGTCTTGGAACAGCCTTCCTACAGACATAAGAGAATGCCCGACATACAGCTCCTTTAAGAAACAACTTAAACATCACATCAAAGTAAATCAGTCATGCACTCATTTTAACTAAAATGTGATTTATAAAGTTTTTATATTGTGTTTTGTATGTATGTTTTGTTCATACATTGTTTTACTTGTGTGACCTGCCTCGGGACTACAGATGTAAATTAGCAGTTTTGCTATAATCTGGCACATTTACAATCTGTGTACAACTGTATATGATTGTTCATTAATGTGTGTTGTCCCGATCAAATAAATAAATAAATAAATAAATAAATAAAAAGTCTAAGGTAAGGTAAGAACATATGTCAGTATGTAAAAACGGTGAACTATTCCTTTAAGTGGAGACTGACTCCAGGTGGGGAAGCTGGATTGGCCAGGTGCTCCGCTGCTCCTCCAATCAGCACCTGAGTCACGGACGTCTGGGAGGCGGGAGGGCCAGTGGTCGTCCAATCACAGGCCAGGGATCTTCACACAGGAGGGGTTGCCACACACACACACAAAAACACACAAACTACAAAACGGGGAGCAACCTACAGGCCCAGGGCCGTAACAGTGAGTCTCAAAGTAACACAAAGTAAAGATGTTCAAATCCACAATAAGTGTTTGGTCTGTAAAGCTCAGCAGCTG